CCCCCCTATATTCTCACTCGTCCCCCCCAGATAAACATCCAACAATGGCGGTGTCATCTTAGAACTTTTGTAGATGACAGTGGTGGCAGTAGTACTTGAAGTCCAACGTGTAGAGGGTGAACAGAAAGGGGGAAAGCACCGTCCCCTGGGGTGCCCCCGTGCTGCAGACTACCATGTCCGACACACAGTTGTGCAGCCTTATGAAATGAGGTCTGTTTGTGAGGTAGTTAATGATCCATGCAGGCAGGTGTTGGTTCACACCTGCCCCTGTCAACTTCCCCCTCAGCAGTGATGGCTGGATTGTGTTGAAAGCACTGAAGAACTCAAAGAACATGACCCTCACAATACTTCCAGGAGGACTCCAGATGAGATAGGGCTCGATGCAGCATGTAGATAATAGCGTCATCTGCCCCGATGCCAGGTCGATATGCAAACTGCAGCAGGTCGAGCGTCGACCTCACTTGGGCACGGAGGTGGCCGAGGACAATCCTCTCTACGGTCTTCATCAGGTGGGAGGTCAGGTTGTTAGAGTCAAATCTGTTAAAGAAACAGTTCAATTTGTTTGCCCAGGCCTGGTTTCCCACGACCTGGCAACCATCCCCACTTTTTCCGTGGCCAGAGATGTGTTTCAGACCTCCCCACACCTCACGTATGTTGTTCGGTTCTATGCTCTGCTCTCACTTCTTCCTGTAGCTAGCCTTGCACCTCTGGATCATATACTGCACTCTGCTCAGCTCCTCCTTGTCCCCTGAGAAGAAAACCCTCTTCTTCTCATTCAGCAGTGCCTTTAACTCAGGGCTCACCCATGGCTTGTTATTGGGAAAACACTGTACTCTCCGTACTCCTCTCCTTCTATATTGTGTCTGTTGCGGCCAAAATGTGATGGTCTGCCTGCATGGTGATCTCAGTTATGTACAAATACAGCCTGAACCTTCTGATAGCCCACATGATGGCTAGGCATTCTTTTTCTATGGCGGAATAGCATTTCTGTGTCTAGTAGTTTTCTGATGGCGTTTACTGACAGGAAACAATCCATCCTCTTGCTCCTGTTAGAAATTAACCCAATTCTTTTGTTGAAAGCATGAGAAGTGAGGACAGGAGAGGACTGTTTAAAATCAACAGAAAGTTTACTGAAAGTCTGATCACAGGAAAGTCTTACAGCGCTGGATTCAGAGAGATAGAGCTCCAGCAGGAAAACCAACTTCTGAATCCCGAATCATGTTTTACAATGCATTTTATCTTCTTGGGCTGCTCCGCCCTGACCAAAGGTGCAATCTTCAATAGTTTGTGATCCTATTGGCCATTTGGTGTGAGCCGGAGCTCGCACTTCTATGTTGGAATGTGGTAAATCTAGGTATGTGTGTGTGTCTCAGGTGGCAGCTTGCTCTTGATCAATGGGCCCCGAACAATGGGTGGCCTGAGTTTCAGGCCCCCGGTGTGTGTGATGCTAATAGCCATGCTAAACTGGCCAAGTGGTCATCTCAGGTTGCAGCACCTGGCCTCTGCAGAACATTTCAAGACAAAGCCGAACTTGGAACAAGCCAAGCGGGTCTAGGTGTGAGTGCAAAACAGGCCACCCTGTTTCTGTTAAAATGTAAATAGGCTGTCTGGTCACTTAGGAGATGCCGACATCTCATCTCTACAGAAGTTGAAGCAGACAGTTTCTACCTCAGTATCACTTGATTCTCATCAAAACAATTGTAAGATATATAAGCAAGGAAATTAAATACATTGAGAATAACCAAAGCTCAGTAGTTCTGGACAATCATCAATACTGCTGTAATATGTATAGACAAGGAGAATGAGGTGATAACAAATACCTAAAGGGAACTAAAGGTTTGAGAAGTAACTAGTAACTAAAGCTTATAAAGTAACTAGAGCCTATGAGAATTAAATCTTACACTCCTGTAGTAACACTGCCCGAATGTTTGAGGCATCAGTCCTAAGGGTGAAATGTAAAGATAGGTCTGTTAGTCAAGGAATAAATTTGTGGATTAACAGGCTCTTCAGAGTGGTGCATGTTGTTAGGTATTTTTTTAGTCAGATAGATATTGGTTAGATACAGTGCCTTGCTAAAGTATTCGGCCCCCTTGAACTTTGCGACCTTTTGCCACATTTCAGGCTTCAAACATAAATAATTTTGCACGCCCAATTTTTCAGTTTTTTATTTGTTAAAAAAGTTTGAAATATCCAATAAATTTCGTTCCACTTCATGATTGTGTCCCACTTGTTGTTGATTCTTCACAAAAAATTACAGTTTTATATCTTTATGTTTGAAGCCTGAAATGTGGCAAAAGGTCACAAAGTTCAAGGGGGCCGAATACTTTCGCAAGGCACTGTAAACATGTGGGAATGAAAATTTGTTATTCATCTTGTTTTTAGCACCCTATCTTTGATGCTCCTTTCAAAGCGTATTTCTCCC